GTACCTCAGAGCGACAAGCCGCCAGTCCAGATCCTGCCGCAGCGCCGTGGTAATCTGCCGCGGGGAACTGTGGGCCACCAGCTGCTCGTCTGCGTCTGCGTCTGCGCCTGCACGATGCAAATCGCGCAGCGTGTGCGTTGGGACCACGCCGCCTCGCCTCTCACGCAGCGGCGCCAAAAGCACCACTGTGGAGTACGCACTGTCGTCCGACGCAAAGGCAGGGTCACACAGGAGACCGCCGGCCGCCGCCCCCTCAACACGGACAGCAGCATCCCCGGCACCGCCGCACAAAAGGGCGGAGGTCGCAAATCCCACTAACACGTCCTTTTGCGTGTTCGCAAAGAGCGTGCGCCGCCGAAATAGTCGCAGTGCCGCGAGGTGCCGCCTGCCAAGGAGCCGCGTCGACAGCACCGCCGCGGTGTCACTGAGAAGGAGTTCCCGCAGCGACGGGGCACACACCACGGCGAGCAGCCAGGCCCCCCAGTAGACGACGGGGTGCAGGCACTGAGCCACGCCGCAGTGCGGTGTCGCTATGGTGATATAATTCTCAAAGGTGACGTTTAATTCCACAAGCTTCGCACGCACGCGCCGCACCTCGGTGAAAAGTCCGTCCTCAAACTCTGCCCCGTCCGCAGCGACAAGCAGCAGGTACAAAAACTCCCGGACAATGATCCCACCGAAGGAGTGCCCCACAACAGAAAAGCAGACGGGGTGGCCGCCATCCGCCTCAACATCCCGCAGCCAGACGTCAAAGACAGGCAAAAACTCCTTAAGCGTCCGGCGAGCGCAACTGCAGGTGCCCCAATGGGTGCCCATCAGCCGGTTGCTTCCGGGGACAAAGCACGTGAGGCCGCGCCGTGCATAGAGGCGGCCACCGTCCTTGTTCGTAGTGGCCTTCAGCTCTAGCAGTGGAGCAGCGGACCCACATGGGGCATCCCGCAGCTGCTCCGCACGCGTGTCACAGCAGCTTCGCTCATATTCCTCGAAAACGCAGCGGATGAGGGCGGTGAAGTCCGCTGCAGTCCCCCAAATCCCGTGCTGCAAGAGAACAAAGTGGTGACCGTCGTCCGGGACTTGAGCAGACATGTCAAGCGGAGAAAAACACGCGTCGCAGCTCCACGTTCCTTATACTGTGCCCCGCCTGTTGGCCGGCCCCCAAGCCGCTCCAAAGAAAGAATGGAGAAAAAGAAGCAGCGCAAGAAAGCAAAAAAAAACTCCCACCCTCAGCGCCAGAAGAGTACACACGCAGGAAGAGTGAGCCACTTATCAAGTCCGTATCACAACCAAAAGCAAGCAACAAGCCAAAAACGAAAAAAGACAACAACAACCAAACTAAGTTATCGCATTTTAACCATGACTTCTGCAAGAAATATGTTTGGGAGCCGCAGAGAGAAGAGGGTCTCAGCAATTGCAAACCCACAAACTACGTCGCTTCACACAAGACGAGCACGTTTGCATCCCCACGGTGTCGGTCATCGCCATCCTGAGAGGTGCAACTACCGCAGGTTCCATGGCGAACGGGTTTGGCAAACGGAGCACATTCCCTCCCGCACAGCGTCCATCCCCCAACACGCGGCCGCGGGAGGCGGAACGGGGGCAATGTAGCCACGTGTGACGCATGCATCACACAGGCGAATCTCCGGTCCTGCGGTGGTCGCCCCACGACAGCGTTCGCATTCGCAAAAAAAGCGGTAAGAGGATAGAAGCAGGCGGCGGCGCTCCGCAGTCGATGTCTCTTGAACATCCACATAGCAAATGGTAAGCGGCTCCCCTTTCTGTATCCCTCGAAGCGCATAAAATGCCGCAAGCCGGCCACGACACGTGACGCGGCAGACGTTTGGGCTGCAGCTGTGGTTGAAGTACGAGGCCTCCGGGTAGAGTGCGACGCCGATGCAGTTACCGTCAGTGTCAAAAAGACCAAAGCTGTTGCACTGCACTGCGGCACACAGGCGATCAAAAAAGTCGACCGTAACCGTCAGTCCGGCCTCCGTACCAGCATCTGCTCCCAACCAAGGCAGAACCAATTTGGTAAAGCGGCGGTAGCTGCAACGAAACTTGCGGCGAGACTCCTTACTCACCACGGAAAGGTTTGTAACCAGCCGGGCAGCATCCATCCATCGTGGAGATCGAACAACGTGCGTCGCCTCGTTCCTGCCACATATGCCGAATGTCATGTGTCCCTGCAAGGAAACGTACAGGTGTGAGGCCGATTCTGGGGAATGGGCTTCTGTTTTCTCCCCAAGGGCCTTGGGGTCCATGACCTCCACCGCACCGCCGCACTGCAGGCGTGCAAGACGAATTACTTCCGCCTCGTACGGCGCTGTAGAGTCCCTGGCAATCGGCATCGTTGCAGCTGTAATCTGCAATTCCGCAGAAGTAGCGCCACCAATGCGTTGTCCCTCGTTTTCTGGACTTGAGTATGTGGCACCTTGACCCGTGGCAACGCAGGCGGCTTCTCGTCTCTCTTCGCCGCCCTGGCCAGGTTTCTCCTTGGCAGAAATGGTGTTCGTCTCCTCAGTCATGTGGGCAGCAAACCCTTCCTTTGCGCACCGTGTCACTAGCAATGCAGCCAAAAGCAAAAACTGCATCTCCCATGCAGCATCTTCGCCAGTTCGTCGAAGCCAGTGCTTTGTGCTCCAGGAGTCAGGAGAAGCGTGTTTGGTCCCGATTGACTTTGACTGAGTTCCGCCGCCCACATAGAAGACCTTGATGAGTGAGGGGTACACGCTGCGCAGCGTTTGGCACGTGCCTGAGGTTCGGTGCAACTCATGATGCTCCATCCAGCATACTCTGGAGCAGTAGACAACTACGCCACACCCGGCACATCCACAGACGCCTTGATTCAGCACTGCCTCGGGAAGACTGACTTCTCGCTCTACCACACGCTCTGGCCACGATGCCGCCTTTGCATTTTCCATCTGCATTGCCTTCACATGATAGTCAAGCATTTCCGACTCACGACGGTGCGCGGCGGCCTCTGACAACTTCTTCTTCAGCATCATATACCCCTTGGAGCGCATCTGCGTCAACTTGGTGGGTTTCTGCAACTTTCTCTGTTGTTGCTTCTCATCGCCAGTATCATTGCCTTCAGCCAGCTCCTCGTCAGGACTGACACTGACGGCCCTTCCTTGGGAGGCGCCTCGCCCTTCCTTCAGCCATCGTTCTTCCTCATGTTTGGCGTGCTCTGCGGCGATGTTCCCGGAAACCCATCGGATGGTCTCGTAGTTGAGGAATAAGCTGCCCCCCGCAATGCCTTGCAGGCAATTGCAGCAGCGCGTTGAGAAGGGGGAGACAGGCACGTAGCCCTTTCGCATGGAGGCTAGCAAGAATCCGTTTTTCTTCCTTCGCTTTGCCATCGAGGCATTGGCTGGATGTGGGCCCTCGGAAATATCCACCCACTCGTCCACCTTGTCCACGATGTGCATCGCGCTCGGCGTTTCATTAGGGTTCATAGCCACGACATAGGGGGCGGCAAGAAGGAGGAGCTCGCCGGGACAGATGTCAGCCTTGGCGACCGCGTAGCGCCCTGCATCGGACGCCGTGTCGGAGAAATGCACACACCCCACCAGCTGATCTTGCGGGGCCGTCGGCATGTGAGTGTGCCGCGGCTGCATGACAGGGTCGTCCCACCGCCCTGCAATAAACGGAGAAAGCGCAAGCCAAGGGGCGTAGAGTGTCAAAACAACAACAACAACAACACTAATGCAATCCCCAAAGACAGAGAGTAAAAAAAAACACACACAATAATAATAATAGCATTCACTCGCGCAGCTAGAAAGTTGGCAAAGCTGTAATGAACAGACGCATTGAAGATGTGCCACACCCGCCCCAAAAGAAAAGGCCGCTTCTTGCCATTTGGCTCCCCAGCATCAAACCACACTGCTCTTATGTTTTTGCCCCCTCCTCGCTGCGGATGCCACCCTCAAGGGCAAGACGCCTCTCCCAATTCCTTTCACGGTACACCTTCACATGCGTGGGTGGCTCAGTCCCCTCAAGCTTATAGCCGTGTAACCTGCTATGCGGTGAAGTATCTGGCTGCCGAATCATGTTCAATATATACTGTGGATCACCCTGCCACAGAAACCTGCCAGTATGGTAGTAGTAGCCAGCGAAGGCCCCGATGAGCAGCGCAGGAATTGTCATAAAAGCGGCAGCTTTAATGTGATGGTGACGAAACTCCTCATGGTGATAGCAGTACTCTCTGTGAATTTGTTCATTCATGTTTTCTCTATCACCCTTCGTCATGGCGTCGGCACTCCATCAGTCGCGCAGTTGCTGCATCCCCCATGGGGCCCGCCTCTTGACCTTGATATCTGGTAACGGCCTCCAGCTTGTCTTATAGTTAATGGAGGGCCCACTACTATCTGTATGATGCTTCAGACCCTTCGTTCGAGATCCGTGCAAGGGCAACGTGCTGCTGCCATCACCGCTTAACTGGTTTCCTCGAGGCGCCGGGAGCACTGCGAGAGACTCACCGGAGGAAGCAGAAAAGGACAAAATGTTGGAAAAATAAGAGGCAGCTCGTGGCTGCTCACCCGGGCTCGGTGCCTTCCCACCATGATAAGAAAAAATACCCACGCCGTTCATCGACAGCTAAGGCTCTGAAACGGCCTCGGTGAACTGTGAGAAACGCACCGCATTGCCGCCACCAAAAACGATGTCCCCTCTGTCCTTGTCCGCCAGGCGCCTTGCTGCAACGCAGGTTATTGACTATTACGCAGTCGTTATCTTTTGCCTTGGTGTCCGAGAAAGAAAATAAGGGGGAAAAAAAGCAGCCTCATGTAGATTTGCCGCATAACACGTCAAAAGTATATATATATATATATATATATATATATAAATTTCTCCATGCCGTCGTCGTCAGCCAAACCCAACAGCTGCGGATGCGGCGCTTGAAAGATGGAGCCATTGCAGCCCGCTTTCTTAGCTTCCCGCAGTCGGCAGCCAAAATCCAGAGACACAGAGATAACTACATACAAAGAGACGGACGTACAGAGGACAGGCAAGTGAAACATACAGGCACCCCCGCCCCCGAAAAAAAAGTAAAAAAAAAAGCTTGAACAATCCCAAAAACTATCTTGTCATCCCCTCTTACTCTCCCTCTTCCTCGCGCTCGCCTTCCCTTTTGTCTCACTGAAGAACCTTGTAGGGATTAAGGATTCCATTCGGGTCCATAATCTGCTTCAGGCTTCGCATCAACGCAATGACCTCCGGCTTCCGCGAGAGGCCGAGGTAGGCCTTCTTCTGCACTCCGACCCCGTGCTCTGCCGAGATGGAGCCACCGTGGGCCGCGCAAAACTCATAAACAGCCGGAAACAAGACGGCATCCAGCGCGTCACTTTGTTTTCGCGTTCGATCCACAACGTTGAGGTGAATATTGCCGTCCCCAAAGTGGCCGTAGCCAACAACCAGAACCTCCTCGGGGTCAAACTTGCCATCCTTGTACACCAGCTCACGGACGTGTTCCACGATGCCGTAAAACTTGTCGAGCGGGAAACTGACATCAAATTTGTAGGTGATTCCGGCGCTGGCAAGTCTCACAGGAGCCTCCTCACGCACCTTCCACAGTTGCACCGTTTGTGCCAGCGACTGGGAGAGGATGGGCTCGAAGGCGCCCCCAAGGCCACCTTTTGAGGCACAGAAAGGGCTACCCTCCGCAGCCTCCACGAAGCGAGAGAGTTTCTCCAGGTCGTGCCCTGCGTCACTGCCGTTTGTCTCTACCAGAACGCAGAAGTAGGCGCTGGTAAAGTCTTGGCCGGCGCGGAACACGTCATTCTTGCTGGTTTGCGTAAAGGGCAACTCCCGCTGCGGGGTGAGGATGAGGGACTCTCCGTCCAAAACCTCAAAGGCTGAGAGACATTCAGCGAGGTGCTCCTGCGCCAAATGGTAAAGCTCCAGCACGGACTTGAAGGTTGAGAGACGAAACAAGGCCAGCTGGGTGGAGCGTGGAAAGGGGTAAAGCTTCAAACTGGCACGCGTCACCACCCCAAGTGTACCCTCACTCCCAATAAAAAGGTGTTTCAGGTCATACCCAGCATTATCCTTGCGAAGGGTAGACATCATGTCCAACACTTCGCCTTGAGCCGTCACCACCTCAAGACCCAGCACATTGGCGTGCATAGATCCATAGCGAGCAAAATGTATACCACCGGCGTTTGTGCTCACAACACCACCAATTTCTGCGCTCCCTTTGGAGCCCATTGTAATAGGCACAAGAAGAGCACGGGCCTTTGCCGCTTCTTGCAAATGCTCAAGAGTGACACCCGCCTCCGCTTCTGCAGACATGGTCTCTGGTGAGACAACAGGCTCGGCGTTCATTTCCTTTAGGCTCAGGATGACCTCGTCATGAAGTGCGGAGGAACCATACACCAACCCTGTGTTCCCACCCTGTGGGACAATCCCAATTTTTTCAGCTTGACAGTAGCCTACGATGGCCGCTACCTGCTGCGTCGAGGTTGGCAGAAGCACTACGGGGCATTCCCCCTCCACCTGGTTCATCCAATCCCTATTAAAGGCGGCAATTCTATCGGGGTCTGTCAGCATCCTCCCTGGGGTTTGCTTCGCCACACATAGCTTCCTAAGTACATTGTTAAAGTATTCCAGGTGTTTCTCATTGACCTTTGCAAACAAGGGATTCCGGGCGGCGTAGTGCGCTGCCCGCTGACGCGCCTCGGTAAGAACACCCATCACTAACAAGAGAAAACAGAAACCCCCCCCCCCAAAAAAAAAAAGGAGAAAAGACCAATGCACATCATCAGCTTACTCCTCCTTCCTGTATGCATGTGTTTATTCTCCGCTTCTCTGCACTAGCTCCTCAATCACCCCCCCCCCCCCCCTTCTGTCCATCGCCCATGAGTAGTGTGAAGGCGGCACTTTGGGCCGTCCTGCAACGCCGCGACAACGCATGTTTGTACTTCGCACACCATTGGACTCAACACTGCCGTACGAACGCGTGACAGACGACTGGTAGTGTACCTCAGAGCGACAAGCCGCCAGTCCAGATCCTGCCGCAGCGCCGTGGTAATCTGCCGCGGGGAACTGTGGGCCACCAGCTGCTCGTCTGCGTCTGCGTCTGCGCCTGCACGATGCAAATCGCGCAGCGTGTGCGTTGGGACCACGCCGCCTCGCCTCTCACGCAGCGGCGCCAAAAGCACCACTGTGGAGTACGCACTGTCGTCCGACGCAAAGGCAGGGTCACACAGGAGACCGCCGGCCGCCGCCCCCTCAACACGGACAGCAGCATCCCCGGCACCGCCGCACAAAAGGGCGGAGGTCGCAAATCCCACTAACACGTCCTTTTGCGTGTTCGCAAAGAGCGTGCGCCGCCGAAATAGTCGCAGTGCCGCGAGGTGCCGCCTGCCAAGGAGCCGCGTCGACAGCACCGCCGCGGTGTCACTGAGAAGGAGTTCCCGCAGCGACGGGGCACACACCACGGCGAGCAG